TACTTACTTACTTACTTACTTACTTACTTACTTACTTACTTACTTACTTACTTACTTCTTCCTTTGCTGTCTTAATCCCGCGCAACCTTCATTTCCGGAATGCAATAGTCCCATTTCCATATAAGGAATGGGACCGACGGAAAGGTCTGTCACCGCCCCGTTCTGCATGCTGCAGCGAAGTGTACTTGAATGTTTTGTGACTCAACTGCTACGTCAAATGTTAGCTCAATATCTACAAATTATAGCTATTTATGCTGATGGTCATTTTGAATAGAGTTGACTTCAAAAGTAATGCAATTGTATATAATTATCTAATTATCTAAGTATTATATGGAGGTTTCATTAAAAATTATCATGTGGTTTTTGAGTTATTTTGCTAATAGACACTTAAAGCCTAATTTCAAACAAGGATCTTACACAATCTGTCAGCATTCAGAATATGTGAATCAGGGTGTAAATCCCATTATCTCTCTATTTTAATGTAAAATAAAAATCCAATGTAAGCTATTGTAAAGACAATTCCACACAAGAACAGTGGCTGAACATTGAGTTTAGGTGGGGATTAGTTTCCTGTAGTACACCTCTGATTAGGAGCAGTAATGATAAGTCTTGTACAACACGTCATCAGACAGCTTTACTGTAATGATACTCCAAATGACACAATAACAAACTAAAGTTTTACCATAAAACATTTATATTTCTGCTGCTTTTCCGTGTTTGCTGACCTCAGGCGTCGTGTCAGGTTATCTGCTCGGAATGATGACTCAGAAATGTGCCTACAGCTCTATGATCTCAGGCCTGTTAGTGATCAATACTGAAATATCGATACTGCCGATGCCAGAACTTTACGGTCTGGAATCGATATTAAAACAAAAATATCGATACTTTGATACTTCAGTCATTTCAGGTAATGTACTGTATATCAGTGGAAAATAAAACTATTCAAATCTTGGATGCTGCATGAGTGCACGTGCTCAGTCAGTCTGTAGGTGTATGGCAGTTCATTTTAACATAAAATCAGTTTCTTCTGGTTGTCTGTAATTACATTCTCAGTGGTTCCCAAACTTTTTGTCTTCTGACCCACAAAATATCCATGGTAAAAACTTGTGACCCCAAATATTACTGGTCTGAGTACACAAACTTTGTTAAAAACCCTAAAAACACAGGCTTTTTGACAATCTAAACAGCTTATACGCAAATATAAATACTTATTTATACTTTTTTGTGTTTTTGTAATAGTTATAGGGAAAATATTACATCAGCAATTATTTTATTACTCTTTAAACTTATTTCTGGAGATTATCCAAGGTGCTTCATGACCCATAATTGGGTCTCAAGCCCAACTTTGGGAACCAAAGTGCACTGGTTCCCAAACTTTTTAGCTTTTGATCCACAAAATAACAGTAGCAGAGACCTGTGCCCCCAACTATTTTTGTATGATAAACATTTGTATCAGGTCAACAAAAACATGGGCATTGTAACGATATTTATTATACTACATTTATCCATTTTACATACACTAACCTCACTCCTTTGTAACAACTAAGGCAAAAATGTAATTAATTCTGAAAATCGTTTCAGGTCCCCCACCTTGATGTTTCAGGACCCCACTTTGGGTCCCGACCCCAACTTTGGGAAACACTGTGGGGTTCTCAATGTTTCCATGCTTTGGCCCCACAAGCAGCATCAGCTTCTGTCCAGGTACCCTCATAAACCTACAAACAATGCTTTAAAATATATGAAGAAGCATCAACCTTTTTATTCACTATTCAAAAATTATGGCATTTATTTAGCACAAGAATTTTAAATTATGATAAACAAATATAGACTTTTAAATGAAGAGATAACTTGTATTCTTTATAAAGTGGTTATTTGGGGGGAAAAATGCTACTTTTTATATTTACCTATATATTTTAATTTATTTATATTTACCAGGCACATTATGTGTGTTAGCACAAAGTATCAGTATCGGATCAGTGTCACCGATACCAACCTGAGTTTACTCGGTATCGGAAAGAAATGTGGCAGTATCGAACTACCTGTGTCACACAGCCCACCTGAGGAAGGTGTGTGTGTGTGTGTGTGTGTGTGGGGGGGGGGGGGGGGGGGCACGCGCACTGACTTACCAGCAGGGTTGCCATGTTCAGTTCCGACATCGGGTTCTTCATCATGGACTTCAGCTTCTCCAGCCGGCTTTCCAGTCTGCTCTCCGCTCCCGGCATGATGGCAGCGAAGTTCAAATGACATGAACGAGTTTCCAAATATAAATAAACACAATAAAAAAATAAATAAATAAATAAATAAGCGAACACCTGTGGGTGTTTTAGCTCCTCTTGAACTCCTCCTGTCCTCCTGGTCTCAGCCCACTAACCTATCTGCTGTTTTTGAAAAAGCCACGCGCTCAGGTTAATTATTCATCCGCGGTCTGTCCTCCGGCCCTAAATCATAAATGTCTTTAAAGAAAGTGAAAACCGACGTTTCGGTTTCGAAACGGACTTCTTTCCTCCACACGGGACCCCCCCGCCCCCGACGTCGGTGCTACCAGGTAGTTTGAACAACCGTCAGCCCCGCAGGGTGTCCAACCTGTGGGCTTCAAACTACCGTCCAGCTCGCAGAAATACACAGCGACACGTTTCCTGTTGGAGCTTTCAAAATAAGAGCTCAGACAGAACCGGTTCTGGTTGAGCTTATTTCTTGTAATCAGAGGTGTCAAATAAATCAAGTACAAATATTTTGTTACTTTACTTAAGTAGGAATTTTGGTTATGTATACTTTACTAGAATAACATTGTACTTCTACGCCTTACAATTTCATAAAATCATACTTTATATTCCTTGCATTTTGAAAAAAAAAGTATTTAATTTCTATTTAACTTCAGCTTCACATAGCTGCACATGACACATTCATAATGTTTTATCCTTAATGGAAGTTATTTTTTAATTTTTTTACTCATACTTGAAGCATAGTTTTTATACCATTACATTTACATTTTTACTTAAGTAAAAAAAAAACTGATGCTCTACTTTTCAGAAAGTTTTTAAAACCCCATCATCTGTACTTAAGTAATGAATGTGAATACTTATGACATCTCTGCTTGTATTTATGACTTTGTAAATCATATTGATTGTCATGAAATATGACTCAATTACAAATTTTCTTATAATAATTATTTTAAAACGTGCAATTTTTAATACATTTCTTGGATTATTATGACTTTGTACCTTATGCTGACTTAAAAAGTCTCAAAACTTTTTTAAATCTCATAATCATGACCATGAAAACTACATTTGATAATGACTGAATGACTATAACATAACTTTTAAACTCATAATTATGACTTTGGTGTTGCTAGTTTTGCCATTACATATAACTGTATGTTCTGGTGGCAGAAATAAGCTTCTAAATTTTCACAGTCAAAAAGTCTAAAAATAATTTATGATAAATATTGTTTTAGTAAGTATATAAATAATAGAAATATGGTCAAAATACAGTAAGAAAAAAAAATGAAGGAAGTTGATGTCATTAAGCGTGGCATTGAAAGTTTAGAGAGTTACGGAATGTGAACGGGTTGGTGCTTTTAATTTGGTTGACTTTCCAACATCCGGTTGTGTCGACATAGGTGATCCTGGCACATGGTGTTTAAAAAACTTCAAAACGTCACTTCTAGTTGATTTAATCGTGAATATTTAACACTGGGATCTGATTCCAGCAGACGTATCACTAACTTTTAAATAAAAAAAATAGTTCTAAAAGTTGACATTTCCAAATCACTGCGCCCTGAATGCCAAACCGGAATTCCTGCCCTCTTATCTCATTCATCGCTTTTACCGTCACTGCTCTACACACAGGCTGCAGCTACCTTCAGTGTTTCAGGAATGTCGACGTGCTGCCACTAAAAATAAACATTTACAGGGTCCACAGGGTCAGTCTGTCAATGATTTCAGTCTGAAGAAAAACGCTTCACAAATTAAATTAAATTTAAATAAATAAATAAATAAATAAATAAATAAATAAATAAATAAATAAATAAATAAATAAATAAATAAATAAATAAATAAATAAATAAATAAATGTGCACAAGGCCTTTTCTTGCTCTTAGAATAACTTTTATTTCTTTTACTTTACAAAGTGATCTCAACCAAAATTCTTGGCTGCTCAACATTTATTTAATACAAACAACATGACATGTTCATTTGACAGGCTAAAATGTGTGATCCAGGTGGGGGGGTGATCAGACAGTACCTTTACAATTTTTAGGCCACAACAGCAACAAAACTGAGGTTTACTTGCTGAAACTTTAATGAGATTTGAAAACAAACGAAAAGAAAAAGCAAAAGAAGAAATTAAAGCGATAATGGCAGTTCTGATGATTTATTTTTGGCATGTGTGCCATCAGATAGAAGCAGATGACACCAGCAGCTATTTGTCTGAAGTGATGTCACTGTTGACTCACACAGGCTGTGGACAGAGTCCTCTTTCCGGCTGAGGATGACACCGATGTGTTGGCGTGACCCTGTGGCGCGGCTGTGGACTGGAATGAGTGGGGAGACTGAAATGAAGGTTCACACTGGCAAATAAGGGTTGGCTTTGGAATGATGGCAAGGGGTAGCAGGACATAAAACCCGCTTCGAAGGAGCTTCAAGGGCTGTTGATGGCAGTATTTGGATTTATAGATAACAAATAATATGCAAGATGTAAAATATAAGGGGTAGACAACCCAGTTTAGCACTGGGAGTCAGTCGAATGGCACTGATTTTAGGGCCAATGAGATGGCTTTCACGGCAGGTGCAAATTACCAGGCGAACACTGCCCTCTAGTGGGCAAACATGATTAAAACAAAGAAATAATCAGATCATAAAAGAAAAAAAAAGAAGCAATACAAAAGAAGATATACAGCATTTTTTTTCGTGAAAATCTACAGATGAATCAATCATAAGTTAATAAAACATAATATCTGAATAGAGTTCAACAAGAAAATAATGGGAAGGGTGTCGACGAGCCTCAAAAGTGATCCATCCAGGTTAAAGTTTCCCCAACAGCGGCAACCGTAATACTGATCACTGTATGCTACAGCATTTGATGCCTTTTGTGTATAATACCACATCTGGTAACATTCAAAACTCTGATCTCGCGTTTCAGAAATGTGAGCTCAGAGGCGAAAACATTCAGCAGACAGCTAAATCTGAATCAGTCGCAGCGTCGTGTTTGACCCGCCACGAGCTTTCACACACGCGTGGCACTCGGTGCCGCAAGTCGTTCCGACCTTTAATGATCTGTAGAGTTTAAAGGGACTCATTGCAAATTCGTTTGAACTGAATGATGAAAATGTCCTGGTTTATATGTCCTAAAAATAAAAATTTGTAAACAAAATTCGTGACCTGACGTCAACCACATGTTTGCCTATTAGAAAGAAGTCGAAAGCTGAAAATAGTTCAAACTTTAATGTGTTTACCTACACAGACTCCAGCCAGCCTAATGTAGGTCAGTCTCTTGATTCACGTTTTCACTCGGTGGATTCAGCCAGCGAAAAGTGGCTTTGTGTACACTGAGCGCAGACCTGCATTTCAGATTTGCATATCTGCATAGTTCTTTTTTTTAAAGTTTGACTCAAGCTTTGATTTTATACTTTGCAACGAGTAGCTTTAAACCCTTCAGCCTGATTCTGCAAACACAGAGAGAAAGTTGTCTGAGGATAAATTTTTCTTCTTTGAAAGAAGTAAGCCGAATCTTAGGCGATCTCTTGTGAAGGATAAAAACTCAGAAGCAGTGTGGATAGCATGAACTGTATTTATATTGGGCGAATACGTGAAGGAGAAAAAGGCTATACTATATTCCTGGCAGTTGCTCAAAAAAAAAAAAAAAAGAAAGAAAAAGTGAAGCTCGTGAATTTTGAGCTCTAATCGGCCAGGTAACCCAAAACCTGGAGTGGGGAGTCAGCGTGGGATATGAGGAGAGGAACAATGTGGCTCTTTGTGCAGAAGCCGGGCAGAGAAAACAAACCGTTTCCCCTGGAAAGAGATCATGTTCAGGCTCCATCTGAGAAGACCACACAAGGCTGATCAGAGTGCTGTCTGCTGCGTGGAGCAGGAGGAGCAGCAGCCACGCTAACTTGTGCACACATGAACGCTTGAGGGCAATGTTAGACAGGATGAAGATCTGAGTGACTATTTCTCAACAAGCTCTATGATTCGTTCTTTTTCTTTTTTCTTTTTTCTTTTTTTTTGGTCCAAAGCAAAATGTGTGTTCTTCCGCGTTTGTTGACTCGCGATGACTCGGCCATCTGGTCTGCTTCCTGGGTTTGGCGCCCTGCTGGTCTACAGGCAGAGCGACGGGTAGGAAGGTGTTCGCACTGGTGTCGTCCACAAGACGGCGTGGCACTGGATCTGGCTCGGCCCCCACCGTGTTAAAACGGGGAGTCTGTTCAAGAGGATGGAAACAGAAAAAGAGAGAAAGAGAAAAAAAAGGGAGAGAAACGATGTTAGGGATTCTGAGCCAGTTCTGTGCAATTTTCATCTCGACCATATCTTGTATCAACCTCCCCTGCTCTGGACACTCATTCCTTAATCCACCCATTCCACATAAACACTCAGAATGAGGCTTTTAGTCGTGTCAACACTCAGATAACTGTTGCAAAGGGTGCAATCAAACTGGAAACATCTGGCCTCTGTTCTCTCGTGCACACTTCACACAGACTTCCATTCAAGCGCACATCTTAAACACACACACACACAAACACACGTAAGCTCTGTATTCCCTCTGTCCCATTGCGTTTCAGTTTCAAACGCTCAGCGAATACCCATGTGGTGGGATCAGATTACACGGAGCTATAAAATATCCCAAATAAAGGCAGGGGAAAAACGAGACGAAAAAAATAACTTTTTTTTTCTTTCCTGAACTGAAATCCATCAGTTGGCTGCTGATTCTGACAGAGTGGGAGATTTCTTTAAAGGGGAGGGGTGGGGTATTGTGCAAAATCGAGTTTTGAGCTTTAAATCATGTAATAATGTCAATCCCTGGACAAAAACATACCCAGAGTGTTGCTTTGGCTCATTTCTGCATGTTTGAGGAACCCTTGAATCCCCTGTAGTAGCCATGTGGAGCAGCCTAAACGCTTCCTGGTGCAAAGCTCCGCCTATTTACACAAAGCTCCGCCCATTTCTACATAGCTTCTTCCTGGAACTCAGTCTAAAGTCGAGCTCCCACCTCTCAGAGCACCTTTCCTCTTGAGCATAGTTGTGAAGATGTGCTGAAGTGGGAGTATCAGAAATGGTAGAAGGTTCTTAAAGAGACAAAGGCCAATTTCAAGGCATTTAGATAGACTATGATGCAAAATATACAGCATTTTTATAACAATGGAAGGTAACACAGTTGATTGTGGTGTAGATAAAAATTGTGCCTAGACAATATATATATAAAAAAGACTTTCAACAGCGATAACAACAGAGCAGGACAACAATGTTCAGCTCAGAGGACAGAGGTGGCAAACTAAAGTCACACACTCGGCAGCCAGATCCCATTACACACAACCAGGATCCATAAACCAGTTTGCATGAGACAAACAGCATGATTTTATATGTATTAGTTATAGCACAAAAAAACCCCCCAAAAAAACAAAAAACACTAGATGACCAAAACTAAAATACAGGAAGTGAAATAAATCTTGTTGCACTTAGGAAACCAAACATCTGGTGTAAAACAAGGATTCGTGTTGTTTTATCTTTATCAGCAGCCATCGCATTCAAACACGATTATTAATACGACCTCTGGCCTTTGGAGAGGAATATGGAGAGAAAAGCAGGCGGGTTGAAATTCAAACTGGCTCTGTAATATCAGCGGATTAATCTCAGCACATACAGTAAAACAGAAACACGATCTTGTTATGATGAGATACCAGCGGGTGTGGATGACGGCTGGTGTTACAGCTATTTGGACAAACAGGCGAGACGAACCGAGAGGGCCTTTGATTGGTCCAAAACAAGGAGGCTCTCCAGCTGCATTTGAACAACAAGTTCTGTTTGGCAGCATTTAGAAGTGATGAGTGCAGAGAAGAGAGAGAGAGAGAGAGAGAAAAATGCTCTGAAAAGGGAGAGGGAGTGTGGAAACTTAGACGCGGAGGAAGATGAAGCAAAGTTAGAACCGGGTGTAGTTATGACACGTGAAACTGGATCGCTCTGATTCGGACTCTGTGTTTTCTAACAAAGGCCCAGAGCTCAATCACAGCTGAGGACTGCCTCCTGCACTCGCAGCGCCTCTCAGTCTGCCTGACAATTGTCTTGGAAAGACGTCCGCCTCGCCACACGGTTCACACAGAAAAGGCGAAAGACTTGCTCCGTCTCTTTGAGCGTCGTTTGAAACAGTCTGAAGGTCATCTGTTTTTCCAAAGCCGTGAACAGAATCACACACCTTGGCAAATCTGAGCCTCGGCTAACAGGCAACCAGGCCAACAAAGCATTGTGACTGTCAGGTTGTGTTGAAGTGATCGCCTTTCAAAGTGACTCTCGCTGCTTGTGCCCTCCACCTCCTTTCCCTGCTGTAACTTTAGAGGACCGAGAAGTGCCAGGTTACAGGGATTCTCTCCGTTTGGCGCCATGCTAGTTAGTGACCATGCACATACAGTGGTTAATCTTGCCCTATGTGTGCATGTGAATTTGTCTGTGCTCATATTTTCCACTCTCCAGATTGTTTGCATTTAAATAACTTTAGATTCTAATTTAACCAAAGTGGAATACCATAGTCTTATGTAGTAAGTCATAGTATCATTAAGCTGTCATGAACTTTACCAAACAGTTTCAGCAGGTGCCATATCTCATCACATATAAAACCACTCACCTCTGATTTCTATTTATTGGGATCTCGGATTCGTAGGCATCGCCTCTTCAGAGCCGGTTCCACGTCTCCCTCGTTGGCTACGTTAGCAGGATTCCGCAAGCTACCCTTGTCCCTGAGTTTGGGCAAGAGCAGCGGGGGCGTGGTCCCACCTGTCTTTGGTGCTGTGGGCAGGGCATAAGCGTGGTCCTCGTCTGGAACATGGGGGTCCTCTTCGGCATCTCTGCCAACTATTAAGGGTCCTTCTGACTGACCGATGAGGCCCTCAAGCCGCACCGGGCTAACAGTGGCGCACTTATTCTCTTTGATAGCTTCCAGCTCACTGAGCGCAGAGTCCGAGGGTGGTGCTGATAATCTCTGGGGTAAGGAAGAGTCTATACTAGAAGGCATGCCATTTTGAGGATGCTCCCGAGCTGCTGAAACGGAGGAGTTGCTGTCATGTGAATGGCTGCTCTCCAAGGGGCTGGGTGGACTGTGAGAAGTGTGGCAGTCCGGTTGTTGGTAGACAGTGTCATGTGAAGGTGACGGCGCTAGAGGAGGCATCGGTCTGATTACATTGTGAAGACCTGATCTGTTAACCTGCCCAGATCCGGACTCCCCAAGCACTGATGGGTCCCCCATCCCATTGGTACAGGGCTCAAGCTTCACTTGGGTCCTTTGGAGAACCCTTTGTATCACTTGTCGCTCTGTCTTTTGTTTCTTATAGTCTGTCAGCCCCTCTGAACTCGAGGCTGGGCAGAATGATTCACTATACTGTGCTCTGGGGGAGGACACTTTAATTAGAGATGTGGATGTCGGGGACAAAAATGGCCTTTCTGATTTCACCCAATCTATGTCCCTTGGGTTAGACTCCCCTCGTTTGCTTCTCTCCTCTATAGAAATCTCTGGAGATGATGACCTGTTAGTCCTAGATCTGCCCCTGTCTACCCCGTCTGGCACTGGCTGTATAACTCCACTGTGACTTGGAGTTTCAAGGGCCACTTTGGGAGGGACTGGAATGGGAATCGGAATGGGTATGGGGACAGGTAAGGGAACAATAATAGGATAAGGCACCAGGACAGTGGGTTGGGGCAGAAGAGGGCTAAAAGAAGGAATCCCAAAGTTCATAATGGGAGGCATTGGGACGGGGCCTCTTGGCATCATGTTCAGAGGTGGCGAGTGCAAGCCAGGGAAATAGGCTCCTGGGAAAGGATGCATGAGCCCAGGGGGATTCATGGAAGTGGAAGAGGAGGGCTGCAGGTGAGGAGAATGTGGCGGTCTGTGGATAGGGCTGGAAGGGGGACCTGCATGTCTGGGAGGATTGGCAAGGGGACTTTTTAGGCCCTGAGCATGAAGAGGAGGCCTTATGAAGGGTATGGGAATTTGAGGTACTGGCTTTTGATCCAGAGGTGGACGAGGAGGCAGTGGGGGAGGAAGTGGAGCAGGATGGGGCGACACCACTGTAGGTGGTGGTGGAGGTGGTTGGATTGACCTCTCCAAGGTTCTAAGCCCTGAGACAGGAACTTTTGAAGAAGAAGAATAGGAGGATGCTTCCGAAGAGGAGACAGATGTGGCTTCTACAGGCCCATGAATCAGCGTCGACCCTTTGGGCGAGACATTTCGATTGCGTGCTTCCCCTGAATGGTTGCTGTTGTTCCAAGACTCGGGGGTGAGTAACTTTTGCCCATCCGCCCTCCCATCTTGGCTGGCCCTGTTGGGGCTGGAGCTGGTGTTGGTGAGAGCGGCGCGGGCTTCCCGATAGAAGACGTCCATCTTGTACTGGTTGAGACATTTGATGCTGCAGAACTGAAGCCGTTCCTCCCCAGATCCGAAGTCTAGGTACTCTTTAGTGTGACGGACATGCTTGCACCAGTCACAAACCTGCAGTACAGGCGAGAGAGACTGTGGGGGGTCAATGAAGTATCAGACTCTTTCTGTGCAAAAATTGTAACAAATGTACAGAAACAGGGAAAAAAGCATACTTCTTAAAATATCATCTTGCACGTTAGAACCTGGCAATGTCACAGTATACGTGTGCTAGTTCTTTCTAATGGAAGTTAAAATGTATACTGATGATATCCTCTTACTCTGACATTGGTGTTTATCTTTAACACCAGCCTGGGCGAATCCTCTGGATGTGGGTGCTGAGGGGATCTCTCAGCTTGGAGGTCTTCATCTCTAGCCTGACAGGGGAAAACCACAATGACAAACATGACACGACACTGTGAAGCAGCTTATCCTCAAACCCTACACTGGAAACACTGCGCTCATAAAACTAAGTTTGAGCTTCTTGTCAAGTAGATTAAACCTTATGTGTTGCACCAACCCTTAAAGGTCAGTAAAACAAGAGAACTTTTGTATTCAGTAACAGATATCACGCTACAACCAAGCTAGTTTTATGCTTCTAATAGTTTTAATATGAGGAAATTCCTTCTGATTTGTGTAAGCTGATCTGCCGTGGATTTGAGCGCACCCCCATCTCTGTGACCCAACTAGTCGTGTTGGGTTACGAAACATGAGGCAGCTGAGGGTAAGGTATGCACTGAAAGTGGACACCTCGCCCCAGGCCTTCTGGCCTACCTCTCAGACAAGCAGGAACAAGCCAACAGAAATGCTTTCCTCCCCACCTTCAAAAAAAAGGGAGGATTTGTTGTGCGCTGTCTTCTCTGCCCTTCTTCTGCTAATAACTGCACTAAAGCATAAACAACACTGTGGGTGAAAGATTATCCATCCATCCATTTATTTTCTTTACCCACTTTTATCCTGTCAGGGTTGTGAGGAGGTGGGAGGCGGGGTACACGCTGAACAAGTCACAAGTCCATCACAAAGACAAACAGACATCCAAGCATTTACACTCTGAAAATCTACACAACTTATCATCCCACATCTGTAAACGTGGTAAAGTCAAATTGCAAGTTAAAAAAAAATCACAGCCATGTGCAGCAGAGCAGTTCTCTGAAGCTGCAGGTTTCCTGTCCTCCAGACCAAAGTCACTTAATGGCCGACCCCTTCTGCATTAACTTGAAACTGATACGAAGTGTCCTGCATAAAGTTTGACCTCCCTGCCACCGCTGCCAAACTGCTCCTGAATACAGCGCTCTTCCATACCAAGTAGGAACTGTGGCAATTGAGACGACCCCTTTTTAAATTTGTGTAAATTAATCTACCACTCGTGATCTCACACGATCAGAGGGATCTGTTTCTGAAGGTTCTGTACCTGCCAGAAAGCTCTTGATGTTCCGCCTAAGTGTTCAAAGACAGTAACTCTGCTGGTACAGTCTGTGCATAAA